ACAGAGGTCGGAGAGAGTCCTTAGCCGTCCTGCTCCACTTCTGGTTAGTGTGACTTTGTAAATGGTCCAAGTTAGACCGAATCGTCGTCGCAAGCTTGTCTCTTTTATGTGCGGGTTATTTGTGTAAAAACTCTCCTATTTAGACGTGACATCCCTGTTGACAAAGGTACACACAACACAAACCATTACTCTCCTGCACCGACAAATTGATGACTCCTTTGCCCTTCTTTTTCCAACCCGTTATTTTACAAACCTCGTTCAACTATGTGTTTTGATTTTATATTTTCTTTTAATTATCTTTCTCAGGTGACTTTCGGTTTGCCTATGGGTTCTCCACTTATTTCTGTAAAGGTGAACTTATACATAAATCTTTTTGAAGTCAAGCGAATTTCTTGGTTATTCCCTCCTCAGTCACCTTGTTTCGATATAGTGGGCCCTTGGTTTTTGTCGATCTTAGTTATTGCCGATTTTAGTTTTGGCCGACTTTTTTCGTCGAATTTTTGCCTTTAGTTTTCGTCGATTACCTTAGTTTTCGTCGATCGTACGGAACCTGTCCGGTTCCCAGTGCGCAGACAAAGCAGGAGATAGTGTTGTGCAGTACATTATTTGTGAAAAGGCAAGGCAGTTGCATGAGGACCTCATAAAAAAACTGCCTGAAACAAGTGGTGATGAAAATGAATTCAAGGCCAGCAAAGGCTGGTTAGAAAATTTCAAGAAGCGAAGTGGCATACACAGTGTTGTAAGGCACGGTGAGGTTGCCAGTTCAGACAAACAAGCGGCTGAAAAAATCGTTGGGGAATTTAAATGTTATGTAGAGTCTGAAAAAATCCAACCCGAACAAGTGTTCAATTGTGACGAAACAGGCCTCTTTTGGAAGAAAATGCCAAAGAGACCTATATCACGCAGGAGGAAAAGGCACTCCTTGGACACAAGCCTATGAAAGACAGGCTAACCCTCTTGTTGTGTGGTAATGCTAGTGGGGATTTCAAGGTAAAGCCTTTACTGATGTATCACTCTGAAAATCCCAGAGTGTTCAAGAAAAGCAGTGTTGTCAAGAGTAAATTGTGTGTGATGTGGAAGGCTAACAGTAAGGCATGGGTCACAAGCGAAATTTTCCTGGAATGGTTAATGAAGTGTTTTGCCCCAGTGCCTCCTGTTAATGGACAATACTCCTGCTCATCCTCCAGTCTAAGGAATTCAATTTTGTAACAGCAAAGTTCATGCCTCCTAACACAACTCCTCTCATCCAGCCCATGGACCAGCAGATCATTGCAAACTTCATAAAACTGTACACGAAAGCAATGTTTCAAAGGTGCTTTGACATAACCTCGGACTCTGAATTGACCCTAAAGAGTTCTGGAAGAATCACTTCAATATCTTCCATTGCATAAGCCTTACAGATAAGGCTTCGCAGGGAGTGACTTCCAGGATGATGAACTCTGCTTGGAGAAAATTGTGGCCAGATTGTGTCCAAAAGAAGGATTTTGAAGGGTTTGAAACTGACCTGTCGATCCTACACCTGTTGTGCAATCAATTGTGGCATCGGGGAATTCCATGGGATTGGATGTGAGTTTGGAGGATGTGGAAGAGTTGGTGGAGGACCACAATGAAGAGCTAACCACTGATGAGCTGCAAGAGCTTCATCTTCAACAGCAACAGACCACAGCTCAGGAAATTGCTTCAGAGGAGGAGGAGGAAGAGAGATGGAAGAAGGTGCCTTCTTCAAAGATTAAGGAGATTTGTGCAATGTGGACTAAAGTGCATTCATTTGTGGAGCAGCATCACTCTGATAAAGCTGTTGCAATCCGTGCTGGCAACTTTTACAATGACAATGCTATGCCCCAATTTAGGCAAATCTTAAAGAGACGCCAGAAACAGACCTATCTGGACAGATATTTTGTTTGACAGGGGTCCAGTGACTCTCAAGCTGGTTCTGGTGGCAGTAATAAACAAAGAAGGGAAGTGACCCCAGATAAGGAATTGGTACCTAGAGTCCTTATTTAGAGGGATTCCCCTTCCAAACAATAACCTCTCTTCCCTCTCCCTTCCTCCCTGTCTTCCTTCCAGCAACAACAGCTTTCAAAAACGGTAACTGTCATATTTAATGTTCATTCTTTTGTGCATGTAAATGTATATTTACATGCACATTCTGGGTGTCTGGAACGGATTAATTCCATTTACATTATTTCTTATGGGGAAAATGGTTTTGGTTTTGGCCGATTTTGGTTTTGGCCGATGGCTCTGGAACGGATTAAACACGAAAACCAAGGGTCCACTGTATTGACAACATACCCAGCTTAACTCTCTAAGGATTCAACGTCATACACTCCAACAAGCTCAATCTGGTCTAATCTTTAAACCAATTCACACTCGAAGAAGTCGACGGCACTCCTTTCCTTGTTATTCTAAACCTCAAACCCACCAGCCATCAAGATCTCGATTTCTACTACTACCATGATCGAAGACTGAACTTGGCAGTATTACAGGCTTCTTCTTGAAGAAGAAAACTTTCTCAACGAGCAAGTGCTTTTTGCATTTTACTCTTCTAGTCATTTCATCAGAGATCGCAGACGCCGTGCACATAACATCCTCAAACCAGCAGATAAAACACTACAGAAAGAAGATACAGTATTATCTGTTGTCAAGCACTTCAACATTCTCTCCAACACCGAATTCCAAGCAGAGATCACTGCTTCCACTACGAAAGAAGACATCACCAGTAAAGAGCACTATCAGCAGGTAATTCACTACAGGGGTGTACATCATCCCTTGCAACGATTGTTACAAAAGGCAAAAAACAGTCAGAAACCTCCACACGAAACTCCACCAGCCATTTAATTAACTATATGTAAGTTCTGGAGATGGGAAGTAGAGTGCCTGCACTCTGAAGGAGGGGTGTTAATGTTGCAGTTTAAAAACTGTAGTGTAAAGCACCCTTCTGGCAAGACAGTGATGGAGTGAATGATGGTGAAAGTTTTTCTTTTTCGGGCCACCCTGCCTTGGTGGGAATCGGCCAGTGTGATAATAAAAAAATAAATAAATGTATGTCAATCTCTGCACGATCCGAAAAGGTATCTCTGTACTGCATAACCCAAGGCCCATGTACGGCAATGTTCTTGAAAATATTAACGTTGAATATTTGAAATAAATCATATTTGGTATTCTCAGGTTAACACAGGAACAAACCTTCCTTTAAGAAAATCAGCTTTGAAGCTAAACCGAAAAAAAAAATCTCTTATCATCTCAGAGCGACGAAAATCATAAAATAATCCAGCATAACAAGTTTCAAGCCACTCAAGATTTGCATTATCAAGTTAGCAGCAGTGAAAGGTGAACACAATTGGACGAGTCACTTAGAAATGATGTCATTAATATAAAAAATGTAGATTTCATAGTTTCTTCTGTAAAAGAAGACAAATTGGGACCAGTTTCTTTGATCACGAGTCTCTCAGCAGCATCAAGGCAAAAGAATGAAATAATGTAAAATATTACTATACAATTTCGATATTAAAAATAGCAAAACGGGACCTATGCACTCCATTAACAATCTCAAACTAGACGGCCTGAGCTTGCTACCATCTGCAGCTCATAAGACTGCCATCCCCACGAGACCCTTTGGGGGGGGGCAGATGGCAGACCAGAGGCCTAGCTTCTCCCTACGAGCCCCGTGAGGGCGGGGAATGTGGCTAGGCCTGGGGACACTTGGTCCCAAAGATGAGGAGGTACTTGTACCTCCTCCCATGGGAGACTTAAGTCTCGAGACACTCCCCAGATAGGGAGCCAAGGCCGGGTCACCACTACTTGGAAAAGACCCGGGCCGGGAGAATACCGGCGAAAAAAAAAAAATCTCGAACTTCTGAATGAGTATACACGATTAAGGTCGATTAGAGGAGGTTTTCCTTAGTCAGCGCTCGGAAACAAATCTGGGAACGCCTACAAAACCATGAAATGTTTATGTCGTTCAGAAGAGGTAAACCGAAATTTATTTAACGTTATTGAACGGAAGTAAATATTTCACACACATAAAATAATCAAACGTGTACCCTGATACTTGAACTTCAATTCACGCTGTTATCGGAGTCACTGTAGGCATCTTTTTTGAACGCTTGAAGATATTCCACTGGGTTTTTGGGAGTTATCGGAGCCATTCCAGGATACTGGAATCGGTTAAAAACTTTCGTCATAGGGCACCCGCTAATTATTGCAAGAATCTGATCTTAATTGCTACACACATACTTTTGAGATTTCGAAGCCAGTCGGACGAAGGCATTTATGAGTTATGAGCAAATGGAAACGGTAAGTTGTAGGAAGGAATCAAGAGAAAATCTAGGCAGCCTGTTAAAGGTTGACCTTCCTGGATACTAAACAACAAGGACACACGACTCATCGTCAAGGAAATAAGGAAGACACATGTGCAACATTTAGGCGTCAAATCTGGAACGTTTTGCCTGCAACCATAAGGTTCTTCAGTCGAATATAGAGGAGGCAAGGAACCAGTGGAAATGTAGAGATGATGTAATCAGTCCACTACCCTCGAAGAAGTAGTTTTGAGGTGGTCAGTCCCTCAGCCTGGCTGAGGGACGTATTACGCTGATCTTGCTTTCTTTTACCACCGTATTACTCCCACGCACATTTAAATAAATCAGCTTTAATGTCTTATTATTCCCGTTTAACAATTTATACGTGAAAAAGTATTACTTGCTCATTCCTCCCTGAATTTCATTCACCTTTAACTACGTGTAAAATTACTGAGGAAAAATTCTCTCGCACTTACGAAACTGAAAAGAAACATTGCAATGGCAAAAACTGTTAACAGAAAGGGATGGAAATTCAGATCACAGTGTATACAAATACAGATACGTGCACTGCTGTATGTGTAGAGTATAGTGGGTTTAAATAGCTTATCTGTCATCTATGTGATTATGACACAGAAAGAAATATATCATGCTGTGTATTTTATTTCTACAAGATATTAAGTTTTGAAAGGCATTTTATTTTACCTCTTATTTAAAGCTGGCACAAGTGGGCTGTCCTGTTGACTAACCATTGACAGTATTACCTGCATAAATTCTTCTTTGGACTCGTAAAATGAACATTTTCCTGTAATAAATATATTCTGTAAATAGATATATTTTAATACATATTAAGTTTATTTCCACCTCCATACATTGACTCACACTCGAGGTTCAAACTAAATCACATTTACCAAACAGGAACTTAAAAAAAATTACTAAAAGAGGAAATAAGATTGAAGAAACAGGAAAGGACGAAGAATGACGGTGAAGAATGTAGAGTTTTTCAGGAGATTCAAGGAGGACTTCACAGAAAAAAAAACAGAGCTGCCTGATAGTGAAGGAAGTCAGGCTAAATCAGGAGTCCTAAAATCTTAAACTCATCTACACCTTCAGACTGTTCATCACCCCAAACATTTATTATATGAAAATAATTTAATAAACAATAATAATAATTTCATAAAAAATAGGTAATATTTAAATTATAAAAAATATAAAATTTAACATGCCTTTTTTTACTGAAACTGTTGATATAATTAATGGAAAAGATGACGAACGTCAATAAGGTCACTGATATATGTTTGGAGATTGGAGAGTTTGTCATAAGTCACCACTTAGGCACAACTCCTACTGCTGTGGGTGTTGAGAACGTACTGGCTCTCCAGCAGAGTTTAAGACGAGGGAGTACGGTCAGTACGGGAAGTTAACAGGAATACTACACGTACATATATCCTTCCCAGGACAGGTGAGATAAGAGAGACAAGGAAAAGGATGGAGAGTCACTGATGTTTACTGACCCTTGACTCCCAGCTAATTATCGACCCGTAGGGGTTGATACTGACCATTTCGGGGACCAGCTGGGATACACGAAGACGAGGCAGAAACATCCAAATAATAATGGAAGTTATAAACTTATTAAAAGTAGTTTGACATAAAAACAACAGTGCCACATAACATATTTCAGTAAATAACAAAAAAAGGAACAATACCGTGACTGGATCGATACACAAATAACCCGCACATAGAAGAGAGGAGCTTACGACGACATTTCGGTCCGACTTGGACCATTTACAAAGTCACACTAACGAGAAGTGGAGCAAGACGGGTATATATAGGCAGGAAGTAGTAGTGGTGGTGGTAGTAGTAGTAGTAGTAGTAGTAGTAGTAGTAGTAGTAGTAGTAGTAGTAGTAGTAGCAGTAGTAGTAGTAGTCGTAGCATTAGTAGTAGTAGTAGTAGTAGCAGTAGTAGTAGTAGTAATATTAGTAGTAGTAGTAGTGGTAGTAGTAGTACTACTACTACTAGTAGTAGTAGTAGTAGCAGTAGTAGTAGTAGTAGTATTAGTAGTAGTAGTAGTAGTAGTAGTAGTAGTAGTAATAGTAGTAGTAGTAGTAGTAGCAGCAGCAGCAGCAGTAGTAGTAGTAGCAGTAGTAGTAGTAGTAGTAGTAGTAGAAGAAGAAGTAGTAGTAATAGTGGTAGTAGTGGCGGAGGCGGAAGGCAGTAGTGGTGGGGAAGTAAGAAGGAGGAGCCAGTCAAATACTAAGAAAGGGGAGCACTGCAAGAGAGCTAGGTGCCCACAGAGGGAGAGCAAGAACACAGAGGTGGGGGGAATAATAAAATAAATAATGAAGGAACAGAAACAAAAGGCAGAGAACAGAAAGACAACCCAGAAGAGAAAAAAGAAAGAGGAAAGGGTAAGAGGGAGAAGAAGAAGAAAAAAGGAGGAATCAGGTTAAGTCACGGGAGTTCTGAAGTTTGGAGCATTTTACAATGTAGTGGGAGAGGAAGGCATCTACAGAGACGAAGCCAGGACTAAGATTCATACAAGGAAAGTTGTGTATTAGGGAGGATTCAACCAGACGGCGACTGTTGCAGTTGGAAGTAGGGAAGACAATTTTAGCAGAAGACCAGTCAATAGAATGGCTGTGATCTCTGACGTGACAGAAAAGAGCATTGTTAGTGTTGGCAAGCCTAACACTATTTTTGTGCTCCCTAAATCTGTCATAAAGAGATCGGCCAATTTCTCCAAAGTATTGAAGAGGACAGGAGGAGCAAGAAATAGACTAGACACCTGGAACATCTGTAGAGGGAGGAGAGGTATGAACGAGATTAGTGCGAAGAGTGTTAGTATGGCGGAAAGTAAGCTTGATGTCTAAGGAACGGAAAGAGTTGTTGAGATTAGAAAGGCCGGAAATGTAGGGAAGGCAGAGGACAGAAGAGTTCCCAAGAGTAGAGAGTTTGGGAGAGAAGAAATTACGTTTAGCACATGAGAGGGCAGAGTCTATGAAACGGGAAGACGGGAAAACGAATTATGAAGAGTGGAAGGAACAGAGGATCACAGATGCGGAGAGCACGGAGAAAGAGGGAGATAAAAACACTTTTCTTGACAGGGGAAGCATGATAGGAAAAGTAGTGAATATACATGCCACTGTGCATAGGTTTGCGGTAAACGGAAAAGGAAAAACCTGTATCTGAGCGGTGGAGATGGACATCAAGGAAAGGAAGCAAGGAATTAGATTCCCATTCAGCTTTATACTTAATGGAAGGGGCAAGATTATTAAGAACTTCAAGAAATGGTTGGAAGAGACAAGAGTCATGAGGCCACGGAGCAAAAACGTCATCAACATAGCGGAGCCAGAGTGAAGGACGCACATCGATGGTAGGAAGAAAGCAGTCTCGAAGTATTCCATGTAAAGATTAGCAAGGACAGGAGAGAGAGGAGAGCCCATAGCGACACCGAAGGTTTGAGAATAATATTTACCTTAGAAGGAAAAGGAATTAGAGTCCACACAGAGGCGGATAAGATCAAGAAAGACATCAATATGTATAGGGAGATGAAGAAACGCATCATGGGCCTCTTTCTGGCAGATGTAGGGAGTACAAAAATAGTGTTAGGCTTGCCGACACTAACAATGCTCTTTTCTGTCACGTCAGAGATCACAGCCATTCTATTGACTAGTCTTCTGCTAAAACTGTCTTCCCTACTTCCAACTTTAACAGTCGCGGTCTGGTTGAATCCTCCCTGATACACAACTTTCCTTGTATGAGTCTTAGTCTTGGTTTTGTCTCTGTATATGACTTCCTCTCCCACTACATTGTAAAATGCTCCAAACTTCAGAACACCCGTGACTTAACCTGATTCCTCCTTTTTTTCTTCTTCTTCCTCTCCTTCTTCCCCTTTCCTCTTTCCTTTTTCTCCTCCTCTGTAGCCCAGGCTACCTACTGGCTACCTACCGGCTACCTGCCTCTACCGGCTACTTAGTAAGTTTATTCAGGTATACACAAATACAGTTACATAGACTGTCATACATAGCAGCATATGTGTAGAGAACCTAGGATAACCCAAAAAAGTCAGACACAGTGACTTCCTACAAAAAAAGTACTACTCACCTCTCGCCCTACATTAACACTACACATATTTTAAGGTAAGTAATGAACATGGAAGAGTTGGTGGATGACCACAGGGAAGAGTTAACCACTGAAAAGCTGCAACACTATAGTTAATTTAAAAAAATATATTTTTTGTTAATATTTTTGGGTGTCTGAAATAGATTAATTGTATTTACATTATTTCTTATGGGAAATATTGATTTAGTTTTCGCACATTTCGGCTTTAGAACGACCTTCTGGAACGGATTAAGTTCGAAAACCGGTGTTCCACTGTACTTAATTTGATTTGACTGTAAAAAAAGAAAAGATTTCAAATATTTTTACATATAAAATCAGTAAATGTACACCTATATATACACTTCAGTAACAATCTCCGTCGTCGTCTTAGTAGGACACATTAGAGTTGAATTTTAAATGCAAATAGTCAATGTTTCAAGAGTTAAAATTTCTTCTCCAAGAATCTTGGAATGGTCTACATAGCATTGACCAGAGGGCAACTCTATATACCAATAGTTACATGAACCGTTCCTTAGTTAGAGCAAATCAGCGTTGGAAAATTCAAGCCAGTCGGATGAGGTGTTCTCGAGATAGAAAAGAGAGCTTGGAGAAATGAAAGAAGAGAAAAACAGAAAAAAAATCAGGTATCAATTTTAAGGTACGCTTTGGAGATGCCTAACAGTCCTCCCAGTAACGTCTTTGCAAATTTCTGGAGACTTCAATTCTCCTACTGGAAGTGAGCCAATCTATGTATTTATATCATTTGAGGAATACTATTAGCTTCAGAATTTCAGTGACCTTGGGTGACCTTCAGTGACCTTCAATGACCTTCAATGACATTCATTGACCTTCAGTGACCTTCAGACCTTCAGTGACCCTCAATAACCTTCAATGACCGGAAGCTTCAAGTCCACATGTGTACTTGTATTATATGATCAAATTGATTGGTTTCGTAAGAGCACAAGAACATTTATTATAGAAGTGTTTCGTCCACTGAGAACTTTGTTAGTGCATTGGATTGACAACAATGCCAATGAGCGCAACATCTGATTAACAAAACTTCGTCTGAGAAAGCGTTTTATTGACAAAACTCCCAGTCAGCGAAATACTGAATTGAAAAACTCACAGCGAAAGAAATATTTCCAAAATATATGTCATGATGCTGCACTTATGCTTTATGCACGTACTAGCTAATATATCATAATATATGTCCTAATGCTGCACTTGTGCCTTGTTTACGTACTAGCTAATATATCATAATATATGTCCTAATTCTGCACTTGTGCCTTGTTTACGTGCTAGCTAATATGTCATAATATATGTCCTAATTCTGCACTTGTGCCTTGTTTACGTGCTAGCTAATATGTCATAATATATGTCCTAATGCTGCACTTGTGCCTTGTTTACGTACTAGCTAATATATCATAATATATGTCCTAATGCTGCACTTGTGCCTTGTTTACGTGCTAGCTAATATGTCATAATATATGTCCTAATGCTGCACTTGTGCCTTGTTTTACGTGCTAGCTAATATGTCATAATATATGTCCTAATGCTGCACTTGTGCCTTGTTTACGTACTAGCTAATATGTCATAATATATGTCCTAATGCTGCACTTGTGCCTTGTTTACGTACTAGCTAATATGTCATAATATATGTCCTAATGCTGCACTTGTGCCTTGTTTACGTGCTAGCTAATATGTCATAATACATGTCCTAATGCTGCACTTGTGCCTTGTTTACGTGCTAGCTAATATGTCATAATACATGTCCTAATGCTGCACTTGTGCCTTGTTTACGTGCTAGCTAATATGTCATAATACATGTCCTAATGCTGCACTTGTGCCTTGTTTACGTGCTAGCTAATATGTCATAATATCCTTTACCAGAAAAGAAAGTCCTGAACAGTAGTTTTAAATATTCAAAGATGCTAAGAATGCATATAGTATAAACTTTTTTTTTTAACAAAGATCTATAAAGATGACAAAACATTTATGTATATTTTATGTTATTATGATTCACCCATGAATAATCTTGAAGGGAAAACGAAAATCTTCAAGAGCATAATACAAATTGCGTAGAGATAATTATAGGAATTTTTCGTCTAAATGAATTCAATTCAACGAGAACAATTATTTTCTAAATGAATTGTAAAACATACATGTGATTTGGCAATAATTTTTTTTTTAAATATTAAAGTATTATGTAACATTTTCTTTTAAAAACAACCTGTTTTCGTGAAGTCTTGAGCAATAGTAGACTTAAAACCATTATGATCACCGGTAATGACGTGGTCGCCCCGTCGTACCAATGTGTCTATAGTTTCTGGGTACTGTCGATGTGGTAGGTATATGAGTCGACCAATTTTCTCTGCATCAGCTATCTCCCGGTATATACCCGACTTCGCTGTCTGAAAGCCAATATATATATATATATATATAATATATATATATATATATATATATATATATATATATATATATATATATATATATATATATATATATATATATATATATATATATAATGTCGTGCCGAATAGGCAGAACTTGCGATTTTGGCTTAAATAGCAACGCTCATCTTCCCATATAGGACAAGTGAAAATTTGTGTATGCAATAATTTCGCCAAAATCATTCTGAACCTAACGAAAAAAATACATTTCACTGTGTTTCTTTAGTATTAAATTATTGTAAACAAATCTAAAATATATTTAGTTGGGTTAGGCTAAAATAAATTGCGCTTGTTATAATGAGGTTAGGTAAGTTTTCTAAGTTCCTTTTGGTGCAAAATTATAAATTTTTACATTAACATTAATGAAAAAAAAATATCTTTAATCGTATAGGAGAAAATTTTAGAAAGGACTTAATTTTAAATGAGTTCTTGCTAATTGACCAGTTTTACATATTCGGCACGACATATATATATATATATATATATATATATATATATATATATAATATATATATATATATATATATATATATATATATATATATATATATATATATATGTTCTCGCATGCAGCGAGAAGACATTCCAGTGCATCGTTTCTATGTAAATAGTGGAAGTGTTGTGCAGTTTGTGAAGGTTGTGGAGTGGTGGTAGTGTGGAAGACGGGCAGTGGGGGTGGGGGAGAATAAGGCCTACACTGTGTGAGAGTGCCGGCCAAGATTATCGTATATACAAACCTCAAAAAGCTCTCTACAGCACCATGGCGCCATGCTTCCAGTTAACCTAGAAATGATTACGTGTCGATGCATGGAATAATTAGAGGCATATATTATGGAAAAACAATGTGGGGTTAATGTTAACGAGGGAGTGACCAGTCAATGCCGCCTTCCCCATGTCACACGAAAGGGGGAAGAGGAGCCGTGAATAGGTGGTGAGGGAAGACACTTGGGTTCAGCACTACACATATCCACATATTTCATGACGTACACGGAAAAAAATAATGTGTGTATTGTAAGACAGTGTGAACAATACATAGTGTGCAAGTCCATGTGTAGTGTACTCCCCTCACCCCTCTCCCGAGGCCACCCCCACTCAACAGCCTGCGCCTCCCCCACCCAAGTCCTAACGACACCCCTCAAGCCCCTCCAGGCCTCCGCGGTTAAGTTCACCATATCCATCCAGCATGTCGTAGCCAGATAGATGCCAGTCAGGAGGAAGGAGCAGCCAGGGGAATGGCACGGCTGGCAATACTAGGAGAGGCAAGTGTCGGTCGTGTTTACAGCTTCGTTGTCTCAACTCTAATGGTTTCCTCCGCAAACACGGTAGTTGCTCTGTGAAAAGTGATGATCCAGAGCCACCTCAGGCACCTGAACCCACTCTAACAGATCTCATCTCATCAGACAATATCTTGGAAGCAATTAAAGCAACAGGTACCAGGACACACATATTCCCAAAGCAGCCCGTCCACACGCAGCTGGGAAACTTACAGACCTCTTAAAAAAAGTAAACGATGGTTCCACTATCCTATATACTCCACCAACCATCAAGGCATGGCACAACTTGCTACTTTTTGGCAATGTCTGCTTATCTGTACCGGAAAAAAAGGTAAAGAGGCTAGCCTCACTGGTCATTAAATCCTTAAAAGAGCTGATAACCTCATTCGCCTTACCCGTCAATACAAAAAATGGAAGAGGCGAACCCCCACTCACTCCACTAACAGCGAAAAAATCAGAGTCCAGGTGAGCAAGAAAATTGAAAAGGGCAACGCAGTGGGAGCAATCAGTATTATCACCAGTGAAGATACTGTTGCCCCCAGGCATGCCTACACTGTGTGTGAGTGCCAGCCAAGACTTAGAGGAAAGCACCCTGCCAAGGAAACCAGGGGCACCAACAGTTCTAACACCTCTGTCCACACTGTGGAACCACTGATTGTGCAAGACTCGGACATTTACAAAGCAGTAATGTCATTCCCGTCTGGCTCTGCTGGGGTTACACTGGAATAAGGCCACAGCATTTAAAGAAAATGGTTAATCCAGTTATCGGGGAGATTGAAGAGACACTGCTTTCAGAGATCACAAGGTTCGCCAACAACTCCTTGGCTGGTCCAATTCCTGTTGAAATTAAATCTTTCTTCTTTGGTGCATCATTTTGTACCCTTAAAAAGATGGATGGAGGAATTAGACCAATTGCAGTGGGCAACACTTTTTGCCGCCTCATTTCCAAAGCTGCTATCTAAAGTATTCGCGCAGAGGCGGTCATGATGCTTCAACCAAACCAGCTTCGCTTTGGGGTCTCTCAAGGAAGTGAATTACTGGTTCATGCAACAAGGGCGTATATCAACAACCTGCCTGAGGACAATGCAGTGGTAAAATTATATTTCAAGAATGCATTTAATATCCCGAAAAGAGTCGTGGTATTAGCAGCTGTACAAGAACATTTCCCTCGTCCCTTCCTTTTCGTTTCAGCTGGATATAGCAAGGAATCAATGCTCCTGTTTGGAGAGCATGAAATCACATCATAAGAGGGTGTCCAACAAGGGGATCCTCTCGCACCATTTCTCTTCTGTATAGCGGTTAGGGAAATCACAGTCAGACCGACCAGTGAGCTAAACGTCTGGTTCCTGGATGATGGCACACTAGCAGGTACAAAGGAGTCTCTTCTAGATGATCTTACACAGGTGATGACACTGGGAAAGGAAATGGGTTTCATCCTGAATCCATCCAAATGTAAAATCATCTCAGTCAATCAACAAGTGATAGATGCAGTGACCTCAAAACTACCATGAGCATCTCTGGGAAGCGATGCAATTGACACAAATCTCAGGAAGAAACTGGAAGAGTTGAGGAGAATGGAACAACGAATACGCAATCTTGACACCCATGACGCCTTGTGCTTTCTAACAAAGTGCCTGAATCTTCCCTGGTTGACATATTCCTTAAGAAGTACACCTTCATATGATAACCCTATACTGCACGAATATGACAGTATCCTGAGGCAGAGTTTTATGAAAGTACTTAACCTTACTCTAGAAGACGGGCAGTGGAACCAAGCTACACTTCCAGTCAGACTATGAGACACCGGTGTCGGCAAGTCATCACAGATTGCGCTACCTGCTTTCCTGTCCTCATGCGTTGCATCCAGAGGGCTTGTAGCAGCGATTCTCCCTGAACATGTTGGGAACAAGATTGGAGTCCATGACCAGAAGTTCATCGACGGAGCCATGATCTGGTATAATCTAACAGACTCTGAAACCAGACCTGCTCCTACCAAAAACTACAAAAAGTCGCACTGGGATGGCCCAATAGTGGAGAATATAGCCTCAAGAATGCTTCAGAGGATAGAGCCCGCCTCCTGGTACTGAAAGTCCCTCATGCAGGGGATTTTCTGTTGGCTGTTCTCAACTCCAGCCTTGGCACACGCCTCGACCCACAGACCATCCGCATTGGTGTTGCCCTTCGACTTGCCGCCCTATTCTCGCCGAACACAGGTGTATTTGTGGCAGTGAAGCAGCAAACTGATTCTGGTACCTTGGTCTTGAGTGCCGTAAATCCGAGGGAAAGACTGCAAGACACGAAGAGATTAACATTATCAAGAGGAGCCTCACAACAGCCTGATGCCCAGCAGTAAGGAAGCCACCCCAACTATGCAGATCTGATGGCAGCCAAAAGCGTCCAGATGGTATCACACTTCAAGCCTGGACAGACGGCAAGCAGGTGGCTTGGGACTACACATGTGCATCTACCTTTTCTGATACCTATCTCCAATACACCATGGAGGAAGGAGGGGCAGCTGCCAGCTTCAGGGAATCCCAAAAGTTTACAAGATATGGAGAACTTGCCCATCATTATATGTTTGTTCCCATAGGCTCAGAGACCCTTGGCTCATGGGGGAAGAGTGCATCTTAGTTCCTTAAGGAGCTAGGGAAAAGACTCATCAGGGTAACTAGGGATCCCAGGACAGCTAGTTTTCTGTTCCAGCGACTCAGCGCTGCTGTTCAGAGGGGTAATGCCTGTTGTATTTTGGGCACACGACCCAGCTCTGAGGAGCTGGATGAGATTCTCGCATTATAATCAGTGACAAACATGTAACAATATGTATCTCTTACACCTCATGTACTGTATATGCTATCTTTATATCAATAATGTATCTCTTAAATCTATTGTACCATATTATGTAATAAAATATACCTATTGGTAAAGAAGAATGAAAAGATGGAGTGGTAGGGGAAGTGGAATATTTAAATGGCTTCAGGAAAAAATCCAAATATTTTTCCATGAAGCCTTTTTATCAACTTCTCTCTCTCTGTCTCTCTCTCTCTCTCTCTCTCTCTCTCTCTCTCTCTCTCTCTCTCTCTCTCTCTCTCTCTCTCTCTCTCTCTCTCCTCTCTCTCTCTCTCTTCTCTGTATCTCTCTGTCTCTATCTCTGTCTCTATCTCTGTCTCTGTCTGTCTGTCTCTATCTCTGTCTCTGTCTGTCTGTCTCTATCTCTGTCTCTGTCTGTCTCTGTATGTCTGTCTTTCTGTCTGTCTCTCTCTCTCTCTCTCTCTCTCTGTATACATAATATATATATATATATATATATATATATATATATATATATATATATATATATATATATATATATATATATATATATATAATATAGGGAGGTACCACCTCTAGAACTGTTATAGGGACCCTCATCCTCAGAGAAAAGAATAAACTTGCTTCAGGGAAAACTCAAGATTCTCCCTGAAGCTGTTTGAGAATTTTCTCCTACCACCCCCTATATTATATATATATATATTTTATTTAAAGACATATATATATATATATATATATATATATATATAATATATATATATATATATATATATATATATATATATATATATATATATATATATATACATGTAATATGTAAAATTTTAGTATTCTGCAACGAGATTAATGTTTAAAATTTCTATGACTCACTTTTAGAAAAGGGACTGTTGCAGAGTCTTTTTCCCATATCACCGTAACAGATGGATCATCTACCACGTCACGTAGAGTTTTGTAAGGTTGAGGGATGTGTCTCACTGCTAGGAGAGCCATGAGGTTGCCAGAGTAACTCCGTGTTAACACCAGTGTCACCATCATCCACACCATCAACACCACCCGCTCCCACAACCAGTAAATAGGCAACGTCGTATCTGTAATGTTTGATGGAATTAAATATATTGCTTGTCTTTAATAAGTTTTAAGAACTCCGTTCCTGTATTTCATAAATATTTCACTTGTTTTGTCACTGTACAGAAGAAGAAAACCTTGTAAATAATTTATATTTCATAATTTCCCATCGTCGTGCAAGTGATAAAATCTTAGCAAATAAAGAAGAGAAATCATATTGGCAAGAATAGAGAACAAAATAACTCATTTTACATCAACTTCATGGGATGATTATGTGAGTTGTAATGAACAACACAATCGTCATAGTAGTGCTTTGATTCATTTCACAATAAGGACAATCCATAGTAGCAAACTTTTTGTTCCTCATGTTGATGTATTTAGTTCTATTTAATATATCATCCAAGTACTTTAGGTGTGTGTTTCATTTGGTTTCAGAAGGCAGAAAAATTTCTTGTTCCTTAACATCTAATACTGGATGTGATGAACCTCACTGGGACTACTGGTTTATGTATTTTTTCAGACTGTACCTCTGTGTAGGAATCCTCGTAGTTCTACAGTGAGGAGGAGACCTTCAACCAAACCATTTTTTTTTTTTTTGAAAATTGCTCTTATTTAAATAGTAATTCTCAGTGATAAATTCTAGTTGGCAGCAGGCTTCACTTTCATTTTCGGACAGGGTTCATGTAGACAAATTGTCGATAATGGATGGTATTCAAATAACTTTCCATCTTTTGATGTCACTACGGAATTTCGACTTCTATGTCATTGTTAGGTAAGACACATATGCAACAGTTAGACAACTTTATTCCGAAACGTTTCGCCTACACAGTAGGCTTCTTCAGTCGAATACAGAAAGTAGGCAGGAACAGTAGAGATGTGAAGACGATGTAATCAGTCCATCACCCTTGAAGTTGTCTAACTGTTGCATATGTGTCTTACCTAACAACCTGTCGGTATTGTATATCATTTTGATGTTCAGTCTATGTCATTATCATGTACAGGAGAATGAAAGTGTTATTAATTTTAAAATACGTTGGGAATTCTACACGCTTTTATTGTGCATAACTCTCAGTTCTTTGGCTTCCAGTAAAGCTTCTTAGATGGAATGTGAAAACATATTTGCTAATTTAGTGAAGTAAGTGCGAACATCCTAAGAGATGGAGAGGACTTATGGATCAGTATCTTCTTTCAGCGGTTGATACGGAGGAAGTGTCTGTTCTGAAAACTGTGCACCAACAAAATGGTGAAGGAAAGATAGATTATTTCTACTGTGTTACGATGTATAACAATACTATAATTATATAGACATACAATTTAGGTAAGAGGACGTATTTGCACCACGGGAGCTTTATCAACTCTCACCGAACATTTGTATATATATCAGTCGTACCGAATAGGTAAAACTTGCGATTTTGCCTAAAATAGCAACGCTCTACTTGCCGAAAATTTGCATATGAAATAATTTCGCAAAAAATATTCTGAACCTAACGAAAAAATATATATTTTATTGTGTTTGTTTATTATTAAATTATTGTAAACTTATCTAAAAAATATTTTGTTGGATTTGGCTAAATTAAATTACGCTTGTTATAATAAGGTTAGGAAAGTTTTATAAGGATATTTTGGTGCAAAATTATTAATTTTTACATTAACATAATTAAAAAAGTTATTTTTAAACGAGTCTTGCTAATTGACCAGTTTTACCTATTCGGCACGGCATACACACACTCGTGTATGTATGTATGTATATATATATATAATATATATATATATATATATATATATATATATATATATATATATATATATATATATAATATATATATATATATATATAATTTTTTTTTTCAACAAGCCGGCCGTCTTCCACCGAGGCAGGGTGACCCAAAGAGAAAGAAAATCCCCAAAAAGAAAGTACTTTCATCATTAAACACTTTGACCTCACTCACACGTAATCACTGTTTTTGCAGAGGTGCCCAGAATACAACAGTTTAGAAGTATATATGCATAAAAATACACAATATATCTCTCCAATCAGCCAATATCCTAAACCCCTCCTTTAGAGTGCAGGCATTGTACTTCCCATTTCCAGGACTCAAGTCCATTACATAAAATAACCGGTTTCCCTGAATCCCTTCACTAAATATTACCCTGCTCACACTCCAACAGATCGTCAGGTCCCAAATACCATTTGTCTCCATTAACTCTTATCTAACACGCTCACGCACGCTTCCTGAAAGTCCAAACCCCTCGCCCACGACACCTCCTTTACCCCCTCCCTCCAACCTTTTCGAGGATGACCCCTACCCCGCCTTCATTTCCCTACAGATTTATACGCTCTCCATGACATTCTACTTTGATTCATTCTATCTAAATGACCAAACCACCTCAACAACCCCTCTTCAGACCTTCTGACTAATACTTTTATTACTTCCACACCTTCTCCTAAACTTCCACCACACGAATTTCTGCATAATATTTACACCAAAACATTGCCCTTAGACAGGACATCTCCACTGCCTCCAACCGCCTCCACGCTGCAGATTTACAACCCAAGACTTCACACCCATATAAAGTGTTGGTACTACTATATTTTCCCATACATTCCCTTCTTTGCCTCCATAGATAACATTTTTTGCCTCCACATATACCTCAATGCCACTCACCTTTTTTCCTTCATAAATTTCCCTATATTAACCTCATCCTTCAAAATCCATCCGCTGCCCACGTCAACTCCCAAATATCGAGAAATTCACTCTCCATAACTCCACCTCCCCAATTTGATATCCTTTTTTTTCTTTATCTAAGTAATTTGATACTCCTCATCCACCCTTACTCTTTCTATTTCATTTTTCAACTTCTACCCCTACACACATTCCCAAATTCGTCCACTAACCTTGCAGTTTTTCTTTAGAATCTCCCATAACACAGTATCACCCAGCAAAAAGTAACTGTGTCAATTCCATTTTGTATTTAAAACTCCCCATAATCAATCCCACCACCTCCCGAACACCCTACATTTACTTCTTATACAATCCCATCTATAAATATATTAAACAACCATGGTGACATTACACATCCTGTCTAAAGACCTACTTTTACCGGAAGTAGTCTCCCTCTCTTCTACACACCTAGCCTGAGCCTCACTATCCTCATAAAAACTCTTTACAGCATTTAGTAACTTACCACCTATTCCATATACTTGCAACATCTGCCACATTGCTCTTCTATCCACTCTATCATATGCCTTTTCTAAATCCATAAACGCAATAAAAATTTCCCTACCTTTATCTAAATACTGCTCACATATATGCTTCAATGTAAACACTTGATCTACGCATCCCCTACCCACTCGAAAACCTCCTTGCTCATCCGCAAATCTGCATTCTGTCTTACCTCTAATTCTTTCAATAATAACCCTCCCGTACACTTTTCCTGGTATACTCAGTAAACTTATTCCTCTATAATTTCTACAATCTCTCTTGTCCCCCTTCCCTTTATGTAAAGGGACTATACATGCTCTCCACCAATCCCTAGGTACCTTCCCCTCTTTCTTACATTTATTAAACAAAAATATCAACCACTCCAACACTATGTCCCCCTCCCCTGCTTTTAACATTTCTGTCATGATCCCGTCAGTTCCAGCTGCTTTAACCCCTTTAATTCTACGTAACGCCTCACGCACCTCCCCCACACTCACATCCTGCTCTTCTTCACTCCTAAAAGATGATATACTTCCCTGGTCTGTGCATGAAATTACCGTCTCCCTTTCTTCGTTGACATTTAAAAGTTCCTCAAAATATTCTCGTCATCTACCCAAAACCTCCATCTCCCCATCTACTAACTCCCCTACTCTGTTTTTAACTGATAAATCCATTTGTTCCCTAGGCTTTCTTAACTTGTTTAACTCACTCCAAATTTTTTTCTTATTGTCATTAAAATTCCTTGACAGTACCTCTCCCACTCTATCATCAGCTCTCCTTTTGCACCTTTCTTTTACTCTCCATATACTCTACTCTTCTTGTAACACTTCTGCTTTGTAAATACCTCTCATAAGCTACTTTTTTGTATTTTATCACAACCTTTACTTCATCATTCCACCAATCACTTCTCTTTCCTCCTGCACCCACCCTCCTATAACCACAAACTTCTGCCCCACATTCTAATACTGCATTCTTAAAACTATTCCAACCCTCCCTCTCTCTCTCTCTCTCTCTCTCTCTCTATATATATATATATATATATATAATATATATATAATATATATAATATATATAATATATATATATATATATATATATATATTATATATAATATGGTTTAGAAAAACACTTAAGCAAACACTAGGACATATTTATTAGAAAACGTTTCGGTCCTGGGACTTTGATTACTTTTAACATACAGAGGTTAAAAGACAGTATATATAGGCGGAGGGTGAGGTGAGAATGACGCATGGTGACCTGAAGAATGCCATGTCGGGATGAAGACTGGAAGACGGTGAGATCATGTGACTCCTGTGTTGCTGGGTAGGTGCTGCTTTGCCTGGTTGAGTATCATGTATGCTAATATTTTAGAAATTCCCAACACAGTTACCTCGCTAAGATACTTTGATGATATATTGGTTTTCTATCCGAGACGTCTCAATATCCAGGCCCTTTTTAACAAGATCATTGCAGTCGAACCATCAATAAAGTTTACACCTGAAGTAGAAAGAGATGGCAAACTTCCTTTCCTCGACGTCCTCCTGTGCAGATCTCCCGACAGTGACAAACTTCTGTTCAGAGTGTATAGAAAACCTACCTATTCACACCAAGATACCTGCGCTAAAAGAGGAGTCCTTTTTGGCATCTTCTTGAGAGATCTTCGAATCTTCAGCCATTGTTTTCTTGAAGAAGAATGTATTTACATAACACAAGCCTTTACACGTCTTCAGTTTCCACCTTTCTTCATCCGAGATTGCAGATTCAAGACACAAGCTATCCTCAACAAACCGCCCATGGAACAACCCTCTAAGCAGTTCATAGTACTCCTACTCCCACGTGATGATGTTGACAGAAATACTCGCCGGGCACTTGATAAGAGTGACATCAATGTTTCCACCATAAACACATCATCTATCAAAGACCTCACTACGAAACGCAGCCCCACACCTCTAACTTCCACAGCAGGCGTCTACATCATCCCCTGTGGATTCTGTCCCAAGAAATATGTAGGTGAGACAGGGAGAGATCTTGCGGTCCACCTGAACGAGCATCGAAGTGCATGTAACGGAGACAACTTAAGGTACGCCTGGCATTTGATGAACTCGGATGAGGAACAACTCATTTTCACCAAACCAGACCATAAACGCCGACGGTGTCTAGAAGCCTTGCTAATCACCGTTACATAAGAACATAAGAACATAAGAAAGAAGGAACACTGCAACAGGCCTACTGACCCATGCGGAGCAGGTCCATGTCCCACCCCCCCCGGATTAGCCCAATGACCCACCCAGTCTGGTCATCTCCACTCAAGGATGGAGCACTGCATCAGACCCAGCAGCACAAGCTAGCCAAGTCCAACTCACACCCACCGACACCCACTCATGCATTTATCTAACCTATTTTTTAAACTATGCAACGTTTTAGCTTGAATAACTGTACTCGCGAGTTTGTTCCACTCATCCACAACTCTATTACCAAACCAGTGCTTTCCTATATCCTTTCTGAATCTGAATTTTTCCAACTTGAAACCATTGCTGCGAATCCTGTCTTGGCTGAAATTTTCAGCACGCTATTTACATCCCCTTTATTTATTCCTGTTTTCCATTTATACACCTCGATCATATCCCCCCTAATTCTACGCCTTTCTAGAGAGTGTAGATTCAGGGCCTCAGTCTATCCTCATAGGGAAGATTTCTGATACATGGGATCATCTTTGTCATCCTCCTCTGTACGTTTTCCAGAGCATTTATATTCATTCTGTAATACGGTGACCAGAACTGTGCAGCATAGTCTATATGAGGCCTAACCAAGGAAATATAGAGTTGAAGAACAGCCTCAGGACTTCTATTATTTATACTTCTAGATATGAAACCGACACAATAGAACGTAACACTGGAAACCATGAAATTTCTAAAACAGTATCATACATGATTCAACCAGGCAAAGCAGCACCTACCCAGCAACACAGGAGTCACTTAATCTCATCGTCTACCCGTCCTCATCACAGTATGACATTCTTCAGGTCACTATGCGGCCACCTCAGCAACACTTGACCTTCTATGTGATGTAGGTAGGTAGTCAAGGATCCCTGAAACACAGCTTATATTCTACCCAAAAATTTAATTTGCCTAATGTATCTTAAATTTTATTAATTAAAAATGAATCTAATTTGTATAAACCAAAAGCAATAATCATATTATTCTCAAAGCATTTTATATGAAACCTAATTTTATTATATTCCTTTCGACCATGGACTTGCTAGAAACAACCTTTTCAGCTTTTTGAAAATGAATTGGACGGTTAAAATCTTTTATTTGAATAAACAGAGCATTAGAATTTTGTTCACTTCTAATGCTGTATTTATGTTGCTTTAATCTTGGTTCAAGACTTTTACCTGATTGACCGTAATAAACTATATCACATATTTTACAAAGAATATTGTAACCACTACCGTTAGTATTTCTGTAGGAATTTTTTATCAAATGTTTTTTAACTGCATGAAGATTTTTAAATACATCTTTGATATTAAAATTCTTAAGCAGAGAAGGCATATCAACCAAGTTTTCATGGTAAGGGAGAACCAACACATTTTTAATTGAGTAAGGTTTGTTATCCCTTTCTAAACTGTAGAAAGTATTTCTAGTAGTTTTAAAAGTTTTATAAATTTAGTTTCGTGGGTATTTTAGATCATTAGCTATTTCATAAATTTTCAAGATTTCTTCATCTAAGAATTCGTGGCTGCAAATACGCAAAGCTCTCAAAAGCATTGATGAAAATACAATCAGTTTAACTTATCTTGATGTGAAGAATAATAGTGCTCAGAACAGTTATTTGTTGGTTTTCTGTAAATTTTAAATTTAAAATCATGGTTTCCCTTTATAATTAAAACATTTAGAAAAAGCAGTGAGTTATTATCTTCAAGTTCAACAGTAAGTTTTATGGAATGAGCTAGATTATTTAATTTACCAAGGAAATGGTTTATATCTATATTCTTAGGCATAAGACATAGAATATCAACATATTTATACCATTAGCTCTCTTGTCTCAAAATATTACTTGTACATATTACTAAGGACAGAGGAAAGAGGAGTTCCCATTGCCATACAGAGTTTAGTAAGTTTAATGATAGCAGGTTCTGGCAATGGTAAATCGTAATTAATAAGCTCTTCAGATAAGAAACTTAATAAATCGTCAACTGGAACTTTTTAAATAAGGAAGTAACATCAAAACTAACCACAATGAAATAATTTAAATCAATCAAGTTGCTTAACTTATCCACTAAATCTATATTGCTTTTAACATTAAAATATTAAAATTTTCCAAAAACTGAGCTCAAAATTTCTACTAGCGGTGAGTATGAAAGTGGTGAGGAAAATTTTACCTTGTTGTAATAATATTCTAATGTAGCCGAAGGTGACATGTAACCAGTAGTTGTGGTCATCACCCTTGAGAAAGCCGCAGGAATACATGAGGAACACTACAGCAGCAAGCATCACAAACATCCCGAGGATGGTCGCCCACACCAGCGGTGCCAGGGGGAACAAGAAGCCCCAGGGGTCCACCTTTGGAAGACCTCGACCCGCCAAGTATCTCCAGTAATCTAATAACATTGGTACAGTATAGTCCACCGCCTCGGCTCGCCATCTATCAAGCATAAAAGGTCCAGCACCGATACTAACTTCCTGTAGAAAAATCCGTCATTACCAAAAACCTCTTCATGCATTATCAAGACAATACATTCGAAGTAAATATAAGTATAGCAAAGTTTATAGTATGCTTAACATCCTTCGTAAAATTCACTATTTATTTTTTCATATATTTAAAACTCTTAGCTCACACAAATTTATTTTTTGAGGACAGAGTAAATTAATAATTTTCAAATCGTCCTTGTAAGTTAGAGCCAAGGATTAAATGTTTATTGCACGTATGACTGTTGGTGCTAACCCAGACATCCCTACTTCAGTGAGTATATGCAGGAAATTATTTCAATCAAGCCAAACTAAGTAGGGGAGGAAGTAGGTTGGTAGACAGCAACCACCCAGGGAGGAACTACAGTCCTGCCAAGTGAGTGTGAAACGGAAACATGTATTTGTTTTACATGATGGTAGGATTGCTGGTGTCTCTTTTCTGTCACATAAGCACTCAGGATAACAGGTATATCTTGCTACTTCTACTCACACCTAGGTCACACTTCTTATGAATATACACACATATATATTTACACTCCTCTGGATTTCCTTCTGTTTTCTTAATAGTTCTTGTTCTTCTTATTTCCGCTTATCTCCATGGGAAAGTGGAAAAGAATTCTTCCTACATAAGCCATGCATGTCATAGGAGGCGACTAAAATGCTGGGAGCAAGGGACTAGTAACTCCTTCTCTCGTATACTTTACTAATTTAAAAAAATAAAACTTTCGGTTTTCCTTTTAAATCACCCTGTCTCGGTGGGAAACGGCCGATTCATGAATACATATATATTATATATATATATATATATATATATATATATTATATATATATATATATATATATTTTATATATATATAAAATATATATAATATATATATAATATATATATAATATTATATATATATATATTATATATATATATATAAAATATATATATATATATAAAATTTTTATATATATATATATATATATATATATATATATAATATATATATATATATATATATATATAATATATATATAAAATATATATATATATGTATATATTATATATGTCGTGCCGAATATGTAAAACTGGTCAATTAGCAAGAACTCATTTAAAATTAAGTCCTTTCTAAAATTTTCCTCTTATACGTTTAAAGATAATTTTTTTTTCTTTAATTTTGCACCAAAAGGAACTTAGAAAACTACCTAACCTTATTATAACAAGGCAATTTATTTTACCCTAACCCAACTAAATATTTTTAGATTTGTTTACAATAATTTAAAAACTAAACAAACAGTGAAATATATTTTTTTCGTTAGGTTCAGAATGATTTTGTCGAAATTATTGCATACACAAATTTTCACTTGTCCTATATGGCAAGATGAACGTTGCTATTTAAGCCAAGATCGCAAATTCTGCCTATTCGGCACGACATATATATACATATAATATATATATATATATAAATATATATATAATATAATATATATAATTTTATTTTATATATTTTAATATATATATAATATATATATATATAATATTATTTATATATATATATATATATATATATATATATATATTTAATCATGATACATGATTCACGTAAAAAATGTCTCCCTACACTGACCTCCCTGACCACCATGCCCATCATGCCAGTCCAAGAACCATTACTGAGTCTAACTCCCCAGACTCCATCAGGAGGTCGCACGTAAGAGTACCTGGTGAGATACACATACAAGTATATATTATAACTTTAAAGTTATTGACTCATATGTTAAAAATTTTTAATTATTTAATTTATGAATTGTATGAGTGCCAGGATTCGATCCCATGGCTCGGCACTGCCAGTGCCATAGAGTTCACAAGTGATGCTCGTGCCGGCAAATTATTTTACCTGGAGAGAAATATCAAAACCACAACTTGGGAGGCTTTTTTAGTTTTTTTATAGGTCTTTTATAGGCTTTTATTGATCTTTTATAGGTTTTTTATTTGAAAGTCACTCAACCTCAACTGAAGGTAGCGATAATGAAGACAAATAATGCAAAGTTAACAAGTGGTGAAAATTAATTAACTGAAAAGATAAACTTTAGTGGGATGACTTTAATGAGAGAAACTTTTATGAGAACTTTATTGAAAATGAAGAAAGCTTGTTCTATAGGAGAAACATCTCAATAAAGTTCCTCTTTCCAAGTGATTATAAATATAGCTCTTTCAGCTTCTAATATCCTTTATCATCTACTGCGACCTCTGGAAAAGAACATAGTAAATTTTAGTATATATGTAGTCTTTTCACAAAATTTTATAATAATGTTTTCATTGAGAGCAAAAACGAAAATTTCATTCTGTATATTACTATAAAGCTTGTGTAGGTATAATGCAACAACTGCACCGCTCATTGTGCTCTCTGTTGGAGAGTTTTGATTGGCTGCTAATGCTGCTAACTACGTGCTCGCTTGTTTAGTAGCCCGTGACAGGCTCAATTTGGTACAAGTAACCTGACGTCGGACCTGTAGGCTCTGCTTCTTACTTTATCGCTGTTACTCGTGCAGGCAATTTCTCCTCGCTCTGTTCTGTCAGCTCGTGTTATTTAGATTGTTTTTGGTAGAGTATGCCTCCTTTGGTGAGCAGAGACATATATCTCATAACTCTGTGCAACTCTATTCACAGTATTTAGACTAAGTTATATTTAATGTTTTCAGAGTTTGTGTCGTGAGACACACTGTATACATGGTCCCGAGTTCAATTCTCGACCTACATTGTTCTGGTATCAACGCATAGACGTAATCAGGGATTTGGAATTGCTGAACTCATTTTCAGTAATAAGGGAGTTTTATGCCTTCAAGGACGATTTACTGGTAGTTTCCCAGTTTAGAGTCGTTTTAGCCTCCTTGATTCCTTGCTTGTCGCTGTGCTGTTCACTTCCGCTTAGTCTTACTGCTGTTTGCGAATGGGTGATCATTTTCTTCAAGCAAGCTGTTTGATAACTTTGATGGTTGAGAGAATAGCTTATTGGTGTTGTCAGTCACATTCTAAGCCGAGTCGAGTCTTACTGAGACGTACCGAGTATTACCGAGCACATACACATACTTACATACTTAATACTCTTGTATTAATGAGTGAATTTCATAGCAACGTACCAGAAGGTACATATTAAGAGTATTAAATTGTACAGTATATTTAATGAGCCCTTAGCATCATATGTTTATATGTAAGTATACAGGATAACTGGACTAAGATGAAATCTGACAAACTGTTACGAAACCAGAAACAAGGTAGATGCTACAGGGGGATCAATAATTTGACCTAGTATTCTTTGGAGATATCACTTAAGTTAATTTAATGCTTCAAAAAATGAGGGATAAATGGACAGCCTGAGAGTAGCACATAGTAGGCTCTGAGTTTGAATCCTAGTCCTCTGTTACTACCTCCGACCACCCTCACACACCATCGAGTTCCTAGTCCTCTGCCTCTCAAGGGCACTGGTGAGGGGCTTATGATCTAGGGAATTGGATCTGTGCTCCGGTTCCTGAATTGAGCTTGACTACCTCCATACCCACACATGCGCTGTATAATTCTACGGGTTTAGCGCTCCCCATAAATATAATAATAATCCTAGTCATCTGTTACAACCTCCCACCACCCTCAACCACAATCGAGTTCGTAGTCATCTGTTGCAACTTCCTACCACCTTCAGCTGTCATCGAACTTCTAGTCCTCTGTTACCACCACATATCCATTCTTTGAAAAATTTACATAATTTATTACGATTTTTCTGAAGTATTGACTTAGAGGGACAGAGCTAAATGTGTTTATTTTGAGTGTTGGTGAGGAGCGATTCGTTTTAAAAACCTGCCAGACCTTTTACACAATGGGTTGGCTTAGCCATGGTACTCTTCATAGAGTCGAACTTACCAAAATATTCATGAAAACTCTGGCGACCGAAGGTTTGCATTCTACCGTTAAACACAACTTCGAATATATATAATATATATATATATATATATATATATATATATATATATATATATATATATATTATATAATATATAATATATATATATATATGCAATAAGATCACAGTAAACAGGTAATATCAAAATATTCAAAACAACCACTGTGAAACGATAGTGAAATTCGAAACGCTTTCGTGACTTCATATTATCAAGGAACTATCCTTTCACAGTGGTTGTTTAGCACATACATATATGTTATATGCAATAAGATCACAGTAAACAGTGGTTGTTTTGCATATATGTTATATGTTGAATACGTTTTGATTATATATCCTAGATGCCTTAATATATGTGTCTCTCTCAAAGATCAAAAAAATTTGAAAACCCCTTAAAATTTTAAAA